GAAAAACTGCATGTACACTTCTAAATTTCTCTTTACAAACTCCAATTTCGCATACGATATTAATACAAAAACATCTCCTATGCTTCTGTCTTACTAAAAAGGTTGAGGTAAAAATTTAAGCTAGAATGTTTACTGAGAGTGAATTAATGTTTAAACTCTGTGAACTGATTTTCCCATACTAAATACTCCTGCATTAAAAGTCACTGAAGTGATTACTTCTTAAGTAGCTTAAAAATTATTAAAAAGTATTAAGCTATCACCAAATAAAATAGCATATGGGGCAAATTTCAAAATAAGAACATTTGAAAATGAGAATTGAAGACTTCACTTCCAAAAAGTAAGGAATTCTGTAACCTTTAGAGGTCTGCATATTTTATGTGGTTATTAGGAAAAAGCAGACACATTGTTCCACACAAATATTAAAACATCAGCAGCTACCTTTCTCATGTTGTTAAAATAAAATTCTAAAAGGTAATACATACAAACGCATCTTTCTCTACTATCTTTCTAAAACTAAATTTAAAATTAAGGTGATTATGTCTCACCATATTTTATGATGTTTATTCACTGAGTATTATTTAGTATATTATAAGCAATGTAAATCTGCACTGATGACTGTACTATTGTGCAAACTTTTGCAACGGACAGCAATAAAATTCCTTTTTCCTTACATTGAGTCGTATAAACTGTAAATTACTCTCCTTTCAGATATGCTTTATTCTTGAATAAGCTTTATGAAAATGAGTCTGTAAATTATCATAAAGCAATTAGGTGGCCCAGTCATGTTCAGGAAAGAAATACAACTTAGCATATACAAAACAGTGTAAAATAAAAACTGCGAATAAAACCTTTTTTTAAAAAGCTCACAATATGGTCATTTGAGTAATCACTAATCTCAAGATAATACGGCTAACTTCAATAGTCACTGTACTCTCTACAAGTTAAAAATATTCCCTATGAAGGTTAATATTTGAAAAGACGCAAACAAATAATAAAAATACAACAGAAGCCTAAAGTTTCCACAAAATCTAAAGACACTAAATTTTTATAGTCTCATGTTCAGCACTACTTTCCAGACTAACATTAAGAATAAAACCCCACCAACAAATGATTTTTAGAATAATTTGTGAAAATATTTTAAAACTGAATTATAGTCCTCAATTTTCTTCAGAGAAATCACTTCATTAATCTTTCTTTATCAGATAAAAAGACTCCAATCGCTACTTTCATTAAGGAATTTAACTTTTAACAGGTTAGCTGCTGAAATAGATACTACAACCTCCCAGAGACAGTCTTCAATGGCCATTTTAATTTCTCCCCTGACAATAAACACAAAACACTAAAGTGAAACCAAGCAAACCAAAGTGCTGTGGCATATCAAAATTATTGGAAGTGCAACTATCAAAAAAGCAAGCCCTTCACTGACTTTTTCCCAAGTGATTTTTTTTCATATTAACATTTGGCTCAATAAAACCACAACTCTAGAAATTAAGTGTTATTAGTCATTTGATGCAATATTTGATACTGCTTTCTATGCATACCATAACTACAAGTACAGTTTTAGAGAAAGTTTTAAGTCACATAAAATTCATGTATAGAGGCACATATACTCCGAAATGAAAGGCAAAATTGACAATCACCTCATTGCTCACATTTCTAAGAACGTGGTAGAACAATTTTAATCTTATAACCTTGATAATTTTAAATCAAATGGGTAGAGTAAAAATAGCATAAATGTACTTTGAATACTAAAAGCAACCTGTCTACCAAACAGCATTCTAGAAATTTTTTTCAATGAGGGCTTTCAAAAGAAAGTTAAATAAACATTTAATTAATTTGTTCCTATATATCTAGATGATTGTCATTAATTCACACCAATAATAGACTGCTTTCGAAATAAGTTACAAATCAGAAGAGTTTTTCCATAATTAATTATCTTCTAGGCAAGCGGGTCAAGTCCAGCCTCAGTAAAGTTTTTCAATTAACGCAGACTCCAAAATTTCCAAATATTCTTTTAAAATATTATTTTTTAACTTAACAGAAAACTGTTAAGTTTTGTGCACTATAAAGCTCCTTCTTCAGTAACCTTCCTCTTCATTTCAAAACAAAAACTTAGGCAAAATTAGCTGTGCACATTTATGTGCAGCTGCATAATCCAAAGGAATAAAACCTCTTCAGATACAAAACATTTTCTTCCAAAAAAAATCTTCTCCACAATTTTTAGCAAGACATATAGACACTTTAGTGTCACTCTACGTTTAAACAAAATGTTTACTGATATTCGCTGAGAGAATTTTTATTAAAAATACTATATTAACACTTACACAATTACATAATTTTAACTAAATATTGTCCACTGCTACAATTCACATCACCAAATTTTTGGCTTTAATAGAGGCCTTAATAAAATGCTTCAGTCACCTCAGACCAATAACTTAATTCCGTTTTTTATGCCTTATACACTGGCCTACCAGTAACTCTCAATTCCTGTGATACTTTCCATTCTGCAGAACAGGAGGGCTCTATCCTCATCCTTGATCAAAACCAGTTTATTATACCTGAAACTGCAAAGTTAATGCCTTTGATAACCACTATCTTTTGAAGTACAAAGACCTAACTTTTAGACAACCAAAACTATACACCGTTAAAATTCTTGGGTTTCTGTCTTATTCAACAAGCTGACTCAGTAAATTTAATACACTGTATGAAAACAGCTAACATATCTAGAATCTGAAGCTGGACTAATCCACTCTTGCCAGAATTTCTGGTTATTAGCTGCTAAGTTATACTTGACATTCTACACAAGTCAGAGTAAAATTAACGGATACCCAAAGGTGTCAAAAGACCTGAAACCTAAATAAGGTGAGCAGCAATTCTGGCATCACAATAATACTTCAATTTCAAGTGAGAACTGAAGTTTAATCTCTGCAATCACCATTTGCTATACACAATACCCTTGACCCTACACATTATCATCTGGGGTCAAAAACCACTTACTCTACCTTCTATTATATATGACAAGAGCACTGAATACAAAATGCTACTGAACTGCAAATTTCATGCCCTATCTTACATCATCCCATCAGGAGAGAAAAAGGCAAATTTAACCAAGATCTGATAAGAGCGTCTTACGAAGTATACTATGGCACTACTGATTTCAAACTACAAAACTTCTAAATGCCGTTCAAAGTTGTAATTAACTTAGTTTAAACACACAAACCTACTTTTGCCTCAAATGAGCACCACATAGGCTGAAAATGATTCCGATTCTTAAAGTTATGCAAATCACTCCACAACTCACATTTTAAAAGAATCTATCAATGCAACCCAGGAAACTAAAAACAATCACTGCAAGATTCTGATGCAACATGCGTACGTGCAACACTAATTTTCATTTTAATCTGATCTATACCCTTGATCTAGGGCCTAAAGCCAAGATTTAATCGAAATATGCTCAATCTCAAAGCGCCTACTTTTCTGTTCATTTAGTAGACCGGATCACCGAGCTCACTAATCCACTACCAGTGTACTGTACTCTGTGTTAACGGACAATAGCACTTAGAAAGAGACCCCACAGGTAGACTAAGAAAGCAATCGGTGCCTTGACACTTGCAACCAGGCAAGAGTTCCATCTAGCAGAACACGCCCTAGATTGAATGCATTCAAAAGAGACAAGATATATCTGATCTAGAAATCCGACCAGGGTTAAATGTTATAGTCACCCAAACTATGGAAATTTTTCGCATCCGTCTACTCCCACGTTATAAAAGAGAGTGACAGAAAGGCAAAGAAGAGCAGCCGCAGAAATGGATACAGGTCAAGTCTAAGTCGAATCCATCCTCCTGATATCTCCTTTTGTTTCTGCTAACGATCTCTTTGATGATGGCTGTCATGTCTGGGAGCCTGTGGCTGAAGAAAAAGGAGGAGAGAGATGGCAGAAGCTGCTGGTGGCGGGGCTTCTTCTGCAGGATGGAAATGGCTCTGGACTTGGCGGTAGCTGATGCCCCTCGCTCTGCTGCCGCTTGGCTCTGGACCGCAGCCGGGTAATGGCTGCTGCGGCGGCTGCTGGATGGTTGCAGCGACTGGGCCTGCTTCTCCTCAGCAGCCAGAGGCCTGGCAGCGGCGGCAGCGGAATGGGCAGAAGACGAATAATCCTCGGCACGGTTGCCTGCTCCGGCGGCCTCCGGAGCCCGGGCCAGGGGGGGTGCGGCGGCGGCGGAGGGGAGGTTTAAAACCGGCCCGGGTCCCTGGATGTGCCGCCGCCGCCGCCGCCGTGTTGGAGGCAGTAGAAGGGGAGAGACCAACTCTCCGGCGTTCCCAGCCCTGGAAATGGTGACAGGCGACTCCGACCCCCTGCCCGGAGCTGCAGCCGCCGCGGCCGCCGCCGCCGCCGCCGCTTCTCCCCCCCGCTCCAGGAGCGGGAGGTGCCGCCGCCGCGCCTCAGCCGGCTCCCGCCCGAGCCCACGGCTTCCACCTTCCCTTTCAGGAGAAGCCGAGAAAGAGGCTGCACGGTTAGACGAGAAGACGAAGAGGAGGCGAGAAACACCGCCGCTGCCGCCGCCGCCGGCCGGCCGGCTCCCCGAGGGCGCTGCCCCCGCGGCTGCTCACAGGCGCTGAGAGGGGCTCTGGGCCGCGGCCGCCGCCGTCTCTCATCTCCCTCGCCTGAGCCCGGCCTCGCCTCACAGCGGCTCAACTCTCAAACTTCCATCATGGCTGCAGCTTCCGAGAGGAGAGAACTGAGCGCAGCCGCGTCCCGGCGCCCGAACGCGTATCCTGCCGCAGTGCACAAAGAGTCCCGCCACATCACCGCTCGCCGGCCTGCCCGCCCCCTCCGCCGCCGCGCCGGGAGCCTCGGGACCCCGAGGGGAGGCTGGAGGCGGACGGGACCCCGCCGGGGTAGGGAAGAACTGGGCTGGGCAGGGTAGTGGCGGTAGGAAGCGGGCAGAAGCGACAGCTCCGGGGGCGAGCGCCAAGCCCCCGACCTGCAAGCGCCACTGAGCATGCCCAGTGTGACTGTCCGGGGGCTGGCTTGGGCTTGTTCCGAGGCGCCCGCCAGTAGCTGCACTTGCCGCGGCTGCTTCTGCAGCAACGCAGGGCGGGGAGGACGAGCTGAGCCTCGGCCTCTGCTCAGAAACCCAGCCGGAGGCAGAGTAGGCTGTTGTGGGGCAAGTGTGGGGGGAATGAAGGTGAAAGCTGAGGCGGGTGCGTTAAGCAGTGTCACTGACTCGAGTCTGAGGTTACCTGTGCACAGGTGGAAAGGACCAGGTGACTGCGCTGGTCAGCGTACAGGGAAACGCAGAGACAGTCCTTGCAGCGAGGACACCCCTCCCCCTGCCCCCACCCCCAGATTTCCCTGGCACGGCCTGCAGCCTCACTCTCCTTTTGCACCGCTGTCGGATCACAATCGTTCGCAGGAATTTAACTGGAGCAGCCTTTGCCGAGAAATTCCACCTCTCCCCCCACCCCCACCCATGTCCTCAAGGTGTCAGTCTTAGCACAAAGAACAACCCCCTATTGTGTCTCCAGTGTGTATCACCTCATCCGGCTCCCTTTCACTGCCCCACCTCCTGCTTCCCCTAATTCGGTTCATTTGCCCTAAAAATGAAAGCTCCTAGCCGAGCGTATAGCCCCTGAATATCTAAGTCCCAAAGGACAACTATCCCAGTGGACTGAAAGCGGATCCCCAAGCATGGGATACACGCCGCGGCTCCCTACATCTGCCCCTAGGGGAGCCCAGCATCTCTCCCTTCGGGGCTCCAGTTCGGTTCACCGCGTCGAACTCCAGCTTGATCCTTAGAGGCTATCCTCGCCCCGCCCCTTTTGGGCCGCTAAGAAAACCCGGCTGGGTGGATCGCCCCGGGGCCAGGTTCCGCGCTCCCCAAGCCGGGCCGTGCACGCTGGCAGCCCGGGTTGCTGCGCCCGACTGTGAAGTACGGAACGGTAGGAAGCTGCAGCCCCTGTGAGTGGGCGGGGCCGAGGAGACCTAGGAGGGTTCAAAAGGAGGTGGAGGGATACACGGGCCACAGTCGGAACTACTTTCAGGAGGCGGTCACGTGTGCTCCTAGTTGGGGAACTTTCCAAATTCCCATTCCCCTGTGATAGCTCGAGAGGCAAGTGCTTCTTTTCCTTCACTCGGGGTGCTCCCGCCTTGTGCGGGCAGCGGGACCCCAGAGCCTCCGGGGTCTTGGCGGAAGAACAGGCTCAGGTGAGCCTTCCGCCGGAGCGCTGTCGGGGCTGGCGCCTGGGGAGCTGGTTACACAAGCACCCACATCCAAGCACGTGCCCCCGCCTCCCCGCACCGCTGGCCGCCGCCGCTGATTCTTGCAGACCACCGAGCGAGAGTTCCCAAGCTGGTCCCATACTTAGCCTGCTACCCACAGAAGAAGCTACAAAGCCGAGACCTTCCACTCCTTGCTCTGAGTCGGCTAACACTGCGCGTTCCCAACCGTGGGAGAAGGGGCTGGGCCCGGGGGTCTGGCGCAACTCCCTCGATAGTGTCCTGCCCCTTAGGGCGAAACTTGGTGGTGCTGTGCTACGCGGGGCAAAAGGGTATCTCCTGCAGCAGCCCGCGGCTTGAATTCACCGATGTTGCAACAAACTTCCAGTCACTACACCTGAGCTGGTGAGCGCGCCCCACCTACTGTAGACTCAGCCAAGTGACTTTTCTGGTCGGAGAACCCAGTCAATGGCCGTCAGCCCAGAACAAACCTGTCAAGTCTGCTTACAGCACCGATTGGTTGACCTATCCCCGTGAGAGAACTGGTTCAGAAATGCTGAGAACTGGAGCGCATTTACCTCGACATTGATCAGTTGCAGAGCGAGTTGTCCACTTTCTGCTTGGACAGAAGGGGCATCAATCAACACCAATTTAGGAATTTCTTCCTTTTCTTTTCTCTGGGAAGAGAACTCCGGGAGACAATTTAAGTCCAAAAGTATCTGAGTTGAGACCTAGGCTGAGGCACTGGGTCGTATTTCAGGTCTGGGAGAATGGGAATCAATTTGTATGTGTATTGCAGTAATTGTGAGTAGGTGCCTAGGAAGGTCTGAAGAGGATTTATTCAGTTTATGAGAAAGATGATTGTATATGAGCACATCATAGTTCCAGGCAGCCCCTGAAGACTAGAAACCCCAAGAGAGCTAGCTTAGAAGCCACAGGCCATTACCTAACTCCAAGACTACTAATTAAACCAGGGGTATTTACAGTGTTCTTAGAGATCTCTGAGGCTCCGTAAAACTTTGCGTTTATATACACCATACTTTTAAAAGAGCTCTGCAGGAGTTAGCAACCTGCTGAATCTTCAGTGTTGATATGTACTGGAGGCTGGTTTTGTGCATGGTCCTGGCCAGCTTGGGGGAGGCAAAGGCCACAAGTGGAAAAGGAAATAGAGAGCAACCTGGAAAGAGCAGGTGCAAGGCCTCCATTTGGTTTCCAAAGATGAAAATCCTGTCCACACAGGCTAGTGTGAGCTAGAGATTTCTTTATTTTACAAATAACCAAGGATAAGGAGTCCCTGATTTCTAGGTGTTCCTCTAGACTGCATGGTAAGAATCTGAGCTGTGCGCAGTTGAGAGTCAACTATTGCTAGGTGGGGAAAGGGAAAATGAAGATGAAGTTAAACGAAAGGAAGTAGATTGGGGAGGGGTAAAATGTCCCAGGTTTGTTTCTCAGGTTGCTGATCTTGTCCCCCAGAAACCATGTTATTAGCACTGCCCTACTTTGCCCCTCCTCTGGAGCCTCCGCTATGTGAGGGTTAGTCTGACAGCATCTGAGAAGTTCTGAAATCCACTTCCGGGGAAGAAAATGGATTAATTCCTGCCCTGTTTGTGTTAGGCATGAGGATAGAGGATCCTTTTCAATTCCCAGGGCACAGTTATTCTGGAGCAGAGAGGGTGTGCGTCACCAGCACTAAAGTGCTGGAATACGAGACTGGCCCATGAACACTTCCATCTGCTGAAGGAAGAAAATGGGAAATGAGTTTTTTGCTACTCTAAACATTAGGTTCCTCTACTTCTCTCTAGTGTTGAATGAAAAGCTCACCGATGTTGGCAGATATTTGGCCAGCCTGACACCAATATCAGGTGGTTATTAGGAGTTGCTGAATAAAAACCTCCTTTCCTTCCCTTCCCAGCATTAAGTAGGTTCCTAAAGGAAATACTGATGTATCCTTTTTCAATTTTTATTTTTCTTCACTTTTTCCTTCTACTCAAGAGATCTGCTTACCCAGGTGGTAGAGCTGAAACCTCTACTATCTAATGTACAGAAAGTTTTTTAAAATACTTTTTTCAAATTCAGTTGCAAAGATATTACAATAGTCATCCCTCAGTATCCACGGGGTGACTGGTTCCCGGAACCCTAGTGGATACCAAAATCCGCAGATGCTGGAGTCCCTTAGTTGGCCTTCTGTATTGGCAGATTCTGCATCCGCAGATTCAACCAGCCGTGATTGTAACCATAGTACATACACGATCCACAGCTGGTTAAATCCGCAGATGCAAAACCCGTGGATATGGACGGCCAACTGTGCATTGGTTTCTAAACACTTCAGTTCTTTAGGTGTCCAGATTTAGAACGTCCTAGGGAGAAACAGAAGCTTGTAACAAATGGAGAATTATATAAAGCTTCAGGGAGACTGACTATATAGAATAATTAGTGAACATGATAAACCAGCTTTAATTATAGTTTCTAACAGCTGATTCCAAAACTGTATGGTTACTATACCCACATAATATCCAAAGAAAATTCCTTTCTCATTTTCTTTGATAAGTGAAATGACCAGCAACTTGATGTGGGTGATATACTTGATGGGTCCTTTGTAGGTCCTGCTGCTAAAATGTCTTTTGTTGAACACTCTGATTGCTATAGCGCCTTTCTCATCTCCCACACTGACCTTTCAAATACAGATCTAAATCAATGGCTTTAATTTTTAAGCAGTCTTCTCTATTTTTATCTGTTTAACCACTGCTTTTTAAATAATACATAATAGAAAAATGTAATAATTATAGGTTTGAATTTTTTTTTTTTTTTTAAAGATTTTATTTATTTATTTTTCCCCCAAAGCCCCAAAGTACATAGCTGTCTGCCATAGCTGCACATCCTTCTAGTTGCTGTACGTGGGATGCGGCCTCAGCATGGCCGGAGGAGCGGTGCCTCGGTGCACACCCGGGATCCGAACCCGGGCCGCCGGCAGCGGAGAGCACGCACTTAACCGCTAAGCCACGGGGCCGGCCCTATAGGTTTGAATTTAAACCACCCCATTCTTCCAGTGATCCAAAGGCTTTTCCCTTATTTCATTTATCCTAATTACAAATATTGCTGTTCTTTTAAATAAAGATATTTTGCCCATGACATTTCTCCAGAAGGCACTGCTATGGATCATACAAGTAACTATATCCTAAAAGAGAATTTTCCATTATTGTCTATAAGCTCTGTGTCCTTAATCTCTCCTGTAGCTATTTCAGATGGCACTATGTCTCCTTTCACATCTCAGTAGAGATGTGTGCTGTTATGAAATTATCACTTTCAGAGAAATAAACGTTGGGCTGGGAGCTCCTGGGAGAACCACAGAGCAGATGAGGCATCGCTATGTCCAAGTGGCACTCAGAAACTGTGACTTGGACTAGAGAGTGAGAAAAAACACCTAACATGACAAGACAAGTTTTGACTGTTTGACACTGTTGCAACTTCTTCACAGCCCATGAAGTTAAAGCAACAGAAAATAGCCTAACATTTGATAACTGTTTCAATTATCTACTGCATAACAAACCACCATAAACTTAGTGGCTTAAAAGAACAACCACCATTTATCTTCTCACAATTCTGCAATCTGGGAAGGGCACAGCTGGACAGTTCTTCTGCTCCCCCATGATGTCAGCTAGGGTCAGGAATGTGGTTGCATTCAGCTGTGAGTTTGGCTGGGGCTGGAAAGTCCAAGATGACTTCACTCACATGTCTGGCACCTCAGCTGGGGCAGCTGAAATTGCTCATGGCCTCCCTCTCTTCGTGTGACCATTCATCATTCAGTGGTCTGGCCCAAGCTTCTTTATATAGTGACTGCATCCTAAGAGGGAGAAAGCAGAAGCTACAAGGCCTCTTCAGGCCGGGGTTTGGAAGTCCCAGAACATCACTTTCATTGTATTCCCTTAGCCAAAGCAAGTCACAAGGCCAGCCCAGATCCAAGGGGAGAGGAAAGAGACTCTACTTGTTAATGGAAGGAGTGGCCAGGATGGGAGAAATTACTGGCAGTCATATTTGGAAACACTCTATCATAATCCACCCTCTGGCCACAACAATATACATACACACCCACACACAGACATGCAAAATACACTTACTTCCTTTCCCCACATTATCATTCTTTATAGCATTGACTCTAAGTCCAAGACCTAGTAATATACACTAGGCCCAGATGTGGATGAGGCATTTCAGATGCTGCTTCTCTTTACCTGCAGATCCATCAACTAAAAAGACAAGTTACATACACAACACACGATGCTGAAACAGGGACATGATAACTGCAATAGACACTCCTGTTCAAAAAGGCGGAAAATGGAAGGCGCAGAGCAGTCACTAGTCCATAGCAATTCTGAAAGCCAGCCAAGCACTGTCACCCTGACTCTGAGGATCTAGTTCTCCATTAGGGCCTGGTTGATCTTCCTGGAGTAGTTTCCTAGGCCACTGTGTTCTTGGCTCCCCACTCTGAGGTCCAGCTTTGACCTCTGAGTCAATCTTTCTTGTCCACCAGAAACTGTCTGCCCTTTATAGTTGAATAGCTCTCTCAGCCTGCTTCCTGCCCATAGAAAGTTGGGAGCCCAGAGGCTTTTTTTTATTTTGAACTGTCTCCTTCTTTAGTCCAAGCTGGTGGTGGTTTTATCAATACGATTCTCTTTAAAACTTTGTGGGTTTTCTATGACTCTCATTGGAGTTCACTCCTTCCCACAAAGCAACATCTATAATTCTTTCAAAAACAAAACTCTGTCTACTTTGGGCCTTGTCAAGATGGCTGCTGTCAGACCATCCTTAAGATTCTTAGAAGTCCTTTTGTCTAGATGAGAGGGTCTATGAGGCAATATGTTAAATTTTTTAGAGGCCTTAACACAGGATCTTGATTAGATCTTTAGCTTGAGGCTATGTTTAATAGGCAGGCTCCTGAAGCCACTTCTTAATTTGAGGCTCTTTTGCTGGTTAAGAGATTCTCCTAGGTCCTGTACATTTCCTCTATATTCTGCTTGAAAACTGAATAGTTCCTTTTTTAACATATCTTTCTTTTGTCATACATCACAAGTACATCACTGCAAGAAGCCAACTGACACTTTGAACATTCAGCCTGAAAACCTCCTTCGCCAGATCTACAAGTTCATTAGGTACACAAGTGCAAGTAAGTGTTGTTAAACATTTTGCCACTACATAACACCACTTCTCCAGCCTCCAATAGCAATTTCCTTACTACTCTTATAGCCTCCATTAAGAGTCCTCAACAAAATATGAGCAAACCGAATTCAACAATATATTAAAAGGATCATACATCATGATCAAGTGGAATTTATTCCAGGGATGCGAGGATGGTTCAACATCCGTAAATCAATCAATATGATATACCACATTAACAAAATGAAAGATAAAAATCATATGATCATCTCAATAGATGCAGAAAAAGCATTTGATAAAATTCAACATCCATTTATGACAAAAACACTTAATAAAGTGAGTATAGAGAGAAGGTACCTCAATATAATAAAGGCCATATATGACAAACCCACAGCTAACATCATACTCAACAGTGAAAACCTTAAAGCTTTTCTTCTAAGGTCAGGAATAAGAAAAGGATGCCCACTCTTGCCACTGTTATTCAACATAGTACTGGAAGTCCTAGCCAAAGCAATTAGGCAAGAAAAATAGATAAAAGGCATCCAAATTGGAAAAAAGAAGTAAAACTGTCACTATTTGCAGATGATATGACATTACATATAGAAAATCCTAAAGACCACCAAAAAACTGTTAGAATTAATAAACGAATTCAGTAAAGTTGCAAGATACAAAATTAATATAAAAAAATCAGTTGCATTGCTATACAATAACAATGAACTATCAGAAAGATAAATTAAGAAAACGACCCCATTTCTAATTGCATCCAAAAGAATAAAATACCTAGGAATTAATTTAACCAAGGAGGTGAAAGACCTGTACACTGAAAACTATGAGACATTGATGATAGAAATTGAAGATACAAATAAATGGAAAGATATTCCATGCTCATGGACTGGAAGAATTAATATTGTTAAAATGTCTATACTACCCAAAGCAATCTACAGATTCAATGTAATCCCTATTAAAATTCCAATGGCATTTTTCACAGAAATAGAACACACAATCCTAAAATTTGTAGGGAACCATAAAAGACTCCAATCAGCCAAAGCAATCTTGAGAGAGAAGAACAAAGCTGGAGGCATCATGGTCCCTGATTTCAAACTCTATTACAAAGCTATAGTAATCAAAACAGTATGGTATTGGCACAAAAACAGACACAGAGATCAACAGAACTCAATAGAGAGCCCAGAAATAAACCCACGCTTATATGGTCAATTAATTTACAACAAAGGAGGCAAGAATATACAATGGGGAAAGGATAATCTCTTCAACAAATGGTGTTGGGAAAACTGGACAGCCACATGCAAAAGAATGAAACTAGATCCATCCCTGGAGATCTAGTGGTTAAGATTTGGCACTCTTACTG